CCTTAGTCTTCACCTGAGGCTTTCTGAGAGGTTCCTACATGCATAACAGCTGCCCGTTAGGGATCATTGTACTCTGATATATTCTACTGCACATAAGACCCAATATAAAATTGGAATCCAGGCCTCCTGGCCACACCTTCTGGACTGTTAGTATGTTTTGGGGTAATACCTAGTACACCTGGTAAGTTTTAATTTTTTTTTTCCCTATCATTCAACCCAGTGGGCTGCTGGTTTTCCAGCATGCTCATTTATCAGACGTCTGTCATCAGATTGGCTTCTGTTGAACAAGTTACTGTACACATGGGTCGAATGTCAGCCGGATTCTACTGTACCGGATGATTTTGGATGATATTCGACCCATGTGTTCAAGGCTTAAAATACGTTCATAAGAGCCATGACATCTATTCAAATACATAGAGCAAAATAAAGAAATAGACATGATTAATATACACAATGCTGTTTACTTGTATGTACAGTTTAATTTCAACTACATAAATTAGAAATGCATCTTATAAGCAAGTCAAAATACATTACAATCATATATACACACAATTCAGCCTTAAGTAGAGGTCAGCTTTCCATATTCTTGGAATGCCCCTTTACTACAGTACCTGTTTATTGGATTAACGTGACATACTGTAATTGAGGAAAATAAGAAAACAATGTTTCCATGCCCTATGGTTCTGTACCATTAATTAAAAAAATATACATCTTTCACTGTACAGGTTTTTCCCCAACTGGCTCTGGAAGCTTTGATTTATGGAATGGTTATAAATGTATGAAACCTGTGTTGGTTTTTTTAAATTATAAATATAATAAATGTAATTTTATGCCCTTAGTTTGAATGTAAAAAATAACACTGCTTGTATTTGTGAAATATAGAAAAAAGAAGGATATTTCATGTTAAATGAATTGAGTCATTCACGCATCATACTCATGCCTAATAGTCATACACAGCTTCAGAATCTTTCCATCACTTCCTATGTACAGCCAGCATGCTTATAAACTGAAAGAACATACTGCATCGTTGAGGTTTACTTTAGGGTTCTAATTAAACAAAATCATTGAACTGCTATAGGTGGAAAGTGCTATATATATATTTACACTGTTTTTACAAGAACACCTTTGTGCATTTTTCATACAGTGCTCCTTGATTACCAATTTTTTTTTTTTTTTAAAGATATAGACTTAGGCAAATTAGCTGCACAACTATATAACTAACCAACAGTGATACTAGAAACGGAATGCTCTTTTGCTCTTCAATTTAGGACATAGAATGTCCTTCTCCTCTAGGGATCTGCTAAATGTATTCATGCAAAGTAGTGGGGAGGTGTCTAATGTCTTGTCAGAACAGCTGCTTGTCAGAATATTCATTTCCCTGCAGTTTTCATGTGTGTGAAAATGTCTCCAAAATTGATTATGGAAATTCTGACAAATGTCTTAGGAATAGCAATGAGCATATCATTTTTCTAGCTATGGCAGTCACTGGATTTGGCACTAATTGAGTATGTTAATCCCCCTTTAAATGTTTCAGAAAAACGTGTTACATGGGTGATTGGCCATCATGTTGTTTTTCTGCATATTATATCAGTGCTTAAATAAAATTATAGGATATCAATTAAAAAAAATGCATCTCTAATTCTATAAAGAAAAAATTGTAAAATAACAGAGCATACACAAATTGTTCAGTATTATGTCAAAGTTAACCTTACTTATATTACTTTTTGTGTTGTTTGTCTTTGTTCTACTTATGAGGTTTACATTAACAGAGAATTAGAGTTGGTCTTTATTAGCATAATGTTGGCTAATTTTAGAACACCTGCAAAAAGAAAAAAAATATTGCAGCAAGTTACAAATTTTAGTATTTATGAGCATCTGTAGCTTAGATGCTACAAAATCCACCACGTAAAAAAAAAAAAAAAAACCCCAAAAACTAACTTCTGAGCATAAATTACTAAATGAATATCATCAACCACAAGCCATCATTTCATGGCGTGGGTGTTAGTAGAAACAAACAAAATCTGACATATAATCCATGCAAGTCAGATGGAAATATTTCTCACTGCTTTAAAGGCAGTCAATAATTGTTTAAGGATCTGTACAAGGTAAGAACAATACCGTCGTAGGGCTCGGTTGCTACCTTCCATGCTCAGAACTTGAGCATGGAAGGTAGCAGCCAAGCCCTACAACGATACCTTCCATGCTCAATCAATTGAAACTAGAGGTTCCAATAGCAATAAATTATTTTTTTTCCATATCGGGTCTTCCCCTATATTTAATCCCCTGACCCTACCTTATGATTCTTATAAAGCGGTTAGCTGCAATTATTAGGAATGAAGTCACATTTCATATGTTATAGTAAGCACCTACTGTGTTATACGCATCTAAATGTCTTTACATGCTCAAGTCTTTTACACCTGCATGACTTTTAAGACCCTTGAAAAATTCAGTAGAGTACATACATACCACTCCTGCCTTTTTTTACTAGCACGTTCACCTTCCATCATGTTCCTATACAGTACATGCACAAATAAGCCCTCCATCAGTCTGCTGGAATATGTAGCATTGTTTTTCAACAAAGTCTACCACTAGTTTGCCTCTGTACAGTTAATTGTAGGTTAAGGGGAAGAACATGAGGTAAATTGCTCAATTTTCTCTTGGCTTAGTGAAAGTAAGATCAGAAAAAGCTTTACACATTAAAACATTAATAGAGACAGGAGTCTTAGTAACATTATTGTTAGTCTCCCTCAGCTTTGTCTATAGTGATAGACTTTTAAAACTTCATTAGAAATATGATATAAAGCAGTTGAGCAGTTTTGAGTTGGACACTAATTATTTAGGAAATGATGCACATTTTTTTAAAGCATGGGGTCACATTGCTGCTCCTATACACAACTGATCTGCAGGACAAGGTTTACAATTATAGGTTGCAGATAGAACAAAATGGAGAAAAGGCAATTCAGCCTACAGTACTTCTAAATGTATACTGAGGTCAGGTGAGGCAGGACAGAGAAAGATAAGTTTGTGTCAGTATTCTGTTCAGTGCACAACTTGCTCTTTGTTGGACAGAGCTGGGTGTAATAAATAAAATGATAGTCATAGTAACACAACATTAATATGAACAAAAGATAATACGAAGAAAAGGGAAATAAGACTGTAAACAGATTAACATGGCAACAGTCTATTCACACATGGACTGTGCTATATATTAGTGCCTACATTCCAGACATGGGTTTTAGATCTGGAATGATGGCAAATGTATTTATGAAATAATAGTAATATTTATTACAGTGTCCAATAGTTCACAGTCAACCGTTTACTATCCAGCAGTAAACTAGCTTAGAAACAAATCTGTTCAACATTGATGGGTGGGCCCCTGGGCCAGTGAGAGACATTCAGTTTTTTTGGGTTTGTTATCTTCTCCTTGAAGTACTCTTGTCCTCTGCGGCACACTAGTTGATAATATTCCTATTTTGTAGGAGCGACAGCTGGGTTGGACTGATAAGCAGAAGGTGGAATCCAGCAAGGAATCTATATGCAACTGAAGATGTAAAGCGGAGCACTGGGAAAACTGTGAAATAGCCATAATTGTTTGTCCTAAACAGGCACCAGAGCCCAGTCACTAGAAATTCATTTCATTTGCCTGTCTGCCCTCAAGCTGCAGTGATTCACGTTTACGGTGCTGGAGAAATGACTCAGCTGCCTGACATGCTCCAATCAGTCAAATTCCACTCAGTACAAATGTGTCCATAAATAATGGCCATTCCATGGCAGCCAATTCATACATTAGACTCTGCCCAAAAGTGCTGACCTGGAAAAAACAAACAAGAAAATAAAACAAGATATAATGGAGGATAATAAATCCTGGCTAATCCTAATTCTATAGGCATACATTATACGAGTTTCCCACAAAAACCTGCATGCAATCTTGTAGCTCTATTATTGCCAGGAGGACTATAGGCACCTGTCTTATATATAACAATCTATTATCTACTCTATTTGTTAGGTCATGTAGGAGACTGCTGTTTGTGTTTTGTTGATTAAAAAGGGAATCTGCCACAGAAAGAAAATACCTTTGTGAAAATCCGCCTTCGGATTCCAAGACTGATACTACTACTTTCAGTATAAGGAGGGTCACCTAAATTCATCATCATGTGACACCACTGCTAATGCAGTTTCACCACAACTACCATGCTTTGGAGAAGTCAGAACATTGCAGGATCCGTCTGAAGCTTCCAACACAGATATTTCCCTTTAAAGCATCAGTCAACATTTTAGTTACAGATGGAGCTTAGTAGGCCAAGTCAGTACTTGGCTTATGTCTTATGGCTTATGATATTTCAACAGTGGGAACTATCACAGTTCCTGACAACACCTGTTAGTTTTGGGTGTTTCTATCAGTCTTTGTGTGTGGTAGTTATTCCCGCTGCATTCTAGATTACATTAAATAATTCAAAAACAGCAGGTGGGGGTCTGATAATGTCTACAATAGTTACGCAGGACCACAAGTGATCCTACCAATAGAGTTTCCCAAGAAATATAAGAAATTGTCAGGGTAGTTAACCATGAAATAACTCCCAAAAACTTAAAATCACCTAATTGGATTGATCCTGTAAAGAAAAGAGTGTTGCCACATAAAGTGGTCTTAATGCCCCATTTTGAATTAGAAATGGGGAGTGTCTTGGAAGATGTTAGTGCCTAATTTACCTAAACCTCACCAGGTGGTCAAAATTACATTGATCATAAAATATGTTTTGAACAATAAGCTACCGGAATGGACTTATCCACATTATTTCATCAATTTATCTCACTTTATGACAATAGAAAAAAACTCTACACGCTGAACATGAAGGTATAATTTAATGCTTCAAACATGTAAAACAGGAGAACTAACATTAAAAAAAACACAATGTACACAAATCAATGTAATAATTTAAAGACACATGTAAAAACTAAGTCAAGACAAGACAGTAGCTGCTCTGGCTACTCAATGGAAATGGTCACTGGACTTTGCAAACAGACTGAATGTGACTATCCAATGTGGCAGAAATACACCCAGGCTTGAGGACTGGCATGGACCTTGACACACACCTCAGACTTTTCCATCTGTCCTTTTCAATGTGATTCTCGGGACTCTCATTCTCATATGAAGCCAAATATAGTCCTGCAGCATAAGAGAAAACAAGCATTGTTCAGAAAACCTGATTTACCCAAATATAACATTTAAACGAATATTAAGATAATACAACAGGTAAGCTCTCATATACAGTTAGGGCCATATATATTTGGACACAGGCACAATTTTAGTTTTTTTCCAGGTATTTACCAAAACATATTCAAGCTATAATTATATAATGGATATGGGATGACCGTGCACACTCTCAGGTTTAATTTGAGGGTATGTACATCCAAATTGGAGGAAGGGTTTAGGAATTACAGAAATCCCCCTTTTTTCAAGGGACCAAAAATAATTGGACAATTAAATCAAAAGCGGTTTCATGGCCAGGTGTGGGCTACTCCATTATTTCTTCATCAATTAGGCAGGTAAAAGGTCTGGAGTTGATTCTAAGTGTGGTATTTGCATTTGGAATCTATTGCTGTGAACCTACACCATGAGTTCAAAAGGAGCTGTCCATGCAAGTGAAACTGGCCATTGTAATGCTTCAAAAATGAAACAAATCCATCAGAGAGATGTGCATAATAATACCAGCCAACCATTCAAATCTGAACTTACCATAGACAGATCAGTTAAGAGGCAATTTCTGATCAGTTATTTTGCATTACTACCCTTTGATATCGTTATCTACTTTTTGCACTGCTGAATAAGGCCAGATGTGCAAGCCGTTATTAGCAATACAGAGTTACATTTTTTAATATCTTAACTAATAGATGTGATAAATGATATCTTAAGTTTTTGCTGTCGTTATAATTGAGAGGACTCTTACCATCTTCACTGAATATTGGAGCAGTCAGCACATAATGCAAGATCTTCCGATCTTTTTCAAAAGGACACTCAACTTGCTTCCAAACCATGAACTCGCTGACTTGCTTTGCCAACTCCCAGAATTTCTGAAGATTAGAAAAAAAAAATATGCACTGGTCAGAATAAATATATAGCTATGTAAAAGTAAAACAACAGAGGGAACAGACTCTTCCAGCTATGCATGGCCAAACTTTCTGAAGATTAGAAAAAGAATATGCATTGGGTCAGAGTAAATTTATAGCTACAGTATGTAAAAGAAAATAACTGGAGTAACAGATCCTTTCATAAAATGACAAAAGGAACCTAATTACAAGGTGTGGCAAGGATTCGAGACACTAAAACAAATGAGGCCAACTGGTGACATATGAGCAAAATACAAGATTCTGTTTCAAGCAAGGAATATATCCTTTTAAATAAGGGAGTTTTAGTACAGATGTGGTGACTATGACAAATCTCTGTAAAGGAAACAACAGCACTTGCTGCCTTGAAATTTTGTGTAGGAAATGATGCTAAAATAAGCATATAACACTGAATATAAGCAATATTTAGCAAAAAATAGAGATTTAGGCCTAAGCTACACAGCTAACTGCTTAAATACGCCATCAAAAAGCCAATGAGCAAAGGGCTAGCTGCATTTTCCAAGGAAACCCACTTCATTTTCTAATAAAAATTTAAACCTGATTGCATGCTACTGGCAAGAACCTCAATTGTCTGCTCCTTCTCTTTTAACAAATCAGCAACGATGTATTCGCAGTGGGATGCTTGTCGACAAAAGGTCAGTCTCATAATCTAAAAACTACCTGCCCTTTGTAGCTTAGGCCTAAACAAGCAGATTACTTACTTCAAAATTGACATGTCCATTAGGCAGACGACTGGTACAGCCCTCATTCAGAAAGTAGATGTCTTTAATCAGAAGGCTGCAGAATGGGATCACAATCTATACAAGACAAAAGCAGAATGTGGAAATCATCAATTTATTATTGTCAACAGATTTTTACATTTTATGCAGCTATACGCAACAGAGTATCTTATTTTTCCAGGCTAAACACACACCAATAGTTATGTAATCGAGCAACACATTTGCTGCGGTCATAGCACAGGTAGAAGTGTTCTAGCAATCACAACACGTATGCTGTAATTGTAACGTCTATGAAAAGTGACAGCAAGGCATAAATTTACGCCTTAAATATTGAAGAGCTCCTCTCCTAAATGGATGCCGCACAGCAAGTAGCTTGGCCGCTGTCCAAAACACAAAGAATTCGACACAGCATTTTTGGAATTATAAGCTTCACTTACTAAAGATGGATATTTTATTTATAAATATAAAAGCAAAAAGTGCTCATGTCCGTAAGCAAATTGGGAATTGCAGAATGTTACCAAGCTGGATGCTAAGGAACCTTGGTGTTTAAGTGTGTAGTGCAGTCTACAGAGGAATTTTCCGTACATATTGCTAAGAAACAGTTAATCTTAAAAATATAGTAAAATCACAGCCACACATTAAGTAATGCAGATAAAAGAAAACACTTTCTTTTTATACAAAAGTGAATGTATAGGCAAAAACTTTTTAAGCTTTTGGATAGAATATGAAAATGGTTAAAATCTCTATCTTTTTGTATTTACTTCCTGTTGTATAGATGCCATTATAGGTAAAAATAAATCTCTCCAAAGTGGGTGGACATCCCTTTAAAGAAGAGTTGTCACCAGAAGTGTACCCATTGGAAGAATTCCAATTGGAAGAAAGTAAGAAGGATCAAGGGGTGCTCACCCACAAAGTTTTGAATATACATTAGTATCATTAAAAATGTATAGCAAGAGATATATACAGTAAGTGTCATTAAACGTAAAGCATGAGATGTAAAAATTCACAATAATTGGCAAAACAGAGTTTCCGATTGGAGATTGTAAATTAATCCTTTTTTACCCTGGAGGTACGGTCTAGTTTGTTTAGGTTTCTGTACTACACAATGCCTGTAAAAGACAGTATCAGTCTCGAAAGCTTGCAAATTTAATTAAAAGCAATTATCCAATAAAATATTTCACTGTACATTTTGCTGCTTCTGACGATGGACATTTGTACTGATCGCATTTATCAAAAGGAACATTCTTCCTGATTTTCCAGCAGTTTTGCCCAATAGCTCCTATTTCATCAACTCCAGTAATTAATTTTTGGACCTAGAATGCTATGCTGCTTTTTAGGTTTATTGAATCATATTTTAAATATATAAAGAATATTTAGGTGACTCTTCCCACCATCATCATGTCTTTTGCCAGTCTTACAGGTACCACCTGACTGAACCACAGACAAGTTGGTTCTCTATAAATGGTAATGAGAGTTACCAGATTAGCAGTTAATATGCAGGAAATTACATCTGGAGATCTTACACAAAGCTTATAAACACTGAGCAATCTGAAGTTTTTAATTACATTTCCAGGCGATTCAAAATGTTGTGCAGCGCTCATTTTCAGCAAGATGCTGTTAAACCAATGTAGCATAACTGACATGCTTCATTGAAGCCTCTGAATAATACATGTATTAAAAGACAAATTATTCTTCAGCATACACATGCTTGTCTAATGAGTTATTTGGTAGGTATAGTCTGGTTAGGCATTTTAAATTAAACCATGTTGCGCCTAGCTGAGCAATGACGTTGGAATATGCAAGAATGAAGACTGCTTACTGGAAACCTGTACTCTTTATTAACCAGGAGTTAGTGTTACACCAGTAGGTTTGTATGGCTACCTTTTTTCAGAGCATTTCTGATTTACTCCAAAACCATCCAAAATATGCAAATACTGAAATTCTAAAAATCAGTATTTGCATAGGGTTTGCACATGCACTACAGGCTGATAATAGACTTTAAGTACCAGAGTGTACAGTTAGTAGGCAGCTTCAGGTGTAACAGTTACCAGCTACGCTAGATGGTTTATACAGATTACAGGTTTAATAAACACTATAGACGCAGCCGTTTTGAATATTTTAATTTCCCCATCTGTAGAATGCAATGCACTTAAAAAAAAAATTATACATATTTCATAGCCATTTACAAGTATTCAGTTTAAGCAGCTTAACTATCCAAGCAAATATAGAGCTTCTTGTAACCTGTAATGATCATTTGGATTTATATTACATCATGGATAACACTGTGTATTGTTATTCTTGTGTGCAAGACTTTAAAATGTTCCTGATATAACAAGAAAAAAAGAAAAAAAACCCAAAAACAAATCTTTTATAAATGAACACAAGCCTCCTTGGGATGTTGGATTTAAATTTAAATTTTATCTTTTAAAAGTTAAAAAGTTTTACTAGATAGATACTTGTTTGATAATGACCAGTGCATATTCAATTTCAGCTTTTTTTGGCACACTGGGAAAGATTTGCAGTTGAATGCTGCAGTCTCTGTAAAGCTGTTTTAATATATTATTTTTCAGTCTGATTAGAAAGGTTATATTGATTTTTAACTTTATTACCATTAGCTACCGCCTGTGTACATTCTTGACTAAATCCAATGTGCAAACAATAGTAACATCTGTCCTTCCACAAGTGTTTGCCAAGTTGTATGGACAACATACCTTCTCCCGGTTGCTGTGGGCTGTTAGAGACCTTTGAGCTGCCCCACGCAGAGCCGTTCTGTAATTGTAAAAGTTGCTTTGAAGGATCCATCTGATGCTAGAACAGAATCACATGATTTTCAGACAAAATGTGCAATATTTAACAAAATTACACAAAAGCCATACTGCAGGTATCATATATTTGAGAGTACACAGTATAGTATAAACCACTTATGACCAAGATGTGACCCCTTGGTATTTTTTGTGTGACTTTCATGCCACTATTTTCAAGGGGTCTACAGGGTGGGCAAAGATGGGGCATTGATCTTGGCAAATATCTTTAGCAGTCTCATGTAACATGCCCCCATTCTCTAACCTGTCTCCTGCAGCAAGTTCCAATCCTCCAACCACACTGTGTTATATCTGCAAGAACTATAGCTTGCATCATGCATGCAGCCCTTTAGTGATGCCAGGGGGTAACACTTGTGGCCCTGTATATCTAGTCAGTTGGTCAGCACTTTTATAACTAAACAGAAACTGAACTAAAACCTGAATGGCGAGCCATCAAACACCATCAAGTACATTAAGAAAAAGAAAAGCATATGCTGCTCTAATCAGTCAAGTAGATACTTCCTTTTATTTTTAAACCTGCATAAGAAACCTGACAACTAATCTGATCTGTTATCATCCTTGTGCTTTATACTAATGTAGAAACATCCCTCCCCAGATCAATTTTTTAAAAAATTATATAAAATTTTCTTTATAATAAAAGTTCGTATCATAACAGCCTCACATACCTCTAGTATATCAAACTTTGCAGTCTTGACTTTTGCCCACGTTTTCTTTAGCCGAGACACAGGGCTCATGTTCATGCCAGCTGCAGAGATAAAAAACATTTTAATGCATGTTAGAAAGCATATTTTTCCAAAGCTATTGCTACTGATATCAATAAAGTTGCATTTCCATAAATTTTTTATTCACATGGACTAAACAATTTAAAGAAGAGTTACATTAGTAATTCAGCAAGTCTATTTCTCCAGATCTCATTTTAAGCAGTAAAGTCTGAGAAGTAAACTGGGAAAGAAATTTAAGAGGATTTGAAGCTCAGCCAGCATTATAAACAATATAAATTCAACCTGACTCATTGTTTTAGGTTTACTTTTTGAAAAAGTGAAAATCACACAACATAACCAATGCAGTCTTATTTAGTGATGCGAATACTTGATGTCCATACATTTCCTAGAGTAGGAAAAACCGAATTTAAGGACAAAGAGCCATGGCTCCAAAACAATTCCTGCAGCCAGACAATATCCACTTAAATGTGCAACAGGTGGGACAGAAATCCAAATGCAAAATAAAACATATCTGTCAGTGGGTGCAGTCATGGTACAATGAATTCTATTATTCCCTTACTTAATTTGGCTTGAGCATGTACGGCAAACACTAAAAAACTGAAATCAAATCTGATAAATGCACAAATTAAATACAAGCATTTTACTTGCCAAAGCACTTCTAATTCTGTCCATCAAAATCTGAGATTTGCATAGCAACAAAGCACAGTCATGTCTGGCAGGGTAGGAGAATTTGATTTTTTTGGCTGTACTCAGATGCGCATAAGTCTTGCTCCTCTCCCAGCCTAAGTTGTGATTGGACATTGAAGGACAAGTAACAGATTGGCGAGTTCATCTTCTCTTCCTTTCCTACCAACAGGTTCCATATCCAGCAGAACAAACAAACAATCTGGCTCCTTTTCCTGCTTCTCCCTACCGCAGTCTAAGCCATGAGGTCAATACAGGTTGCAGAAATAGAGATTAAATGTTTCTCTCCCCTTGTCTAAGCTAAGTTGTACTGGGGAATGTAAGAAGCTGATACAAGTGGCAGAAATTCAGACGCGGAAATAATAATGCTTTACCAGATGTCCCACTGGTTCTACTGTACCTACTGGAAACCCCAATGTCAAGATTTAACTTTTGAATGGTTGGTACATAGCATGGCATTTATTTCTACAGGGACTAGGAGGTAATTATTATTTAAATCAATGAGAAAACCCAATAACAGTTAAGAGGAAGTAGTATGGTTTTTATTGTAAGTTCTGTATTGCACGGCTGAAAGTTTATCTATATCTAAAAGAATTTTTCCTTCTCTACTTTCTTGTTGTACAACTTATAAACACAGTCACTACTGGGGAAAAAAATTATATATTTATATATCGCATTTACCAATGCTGCAGTTCATTATTTACTTACAAATTATCGCCATGAGGGAGTTGAAATTTCCGATGTTGAAACATTCCCTTGCAACGTCAATGAAGAACTCAATTATCCTGGCTCTGTGCTTCTTCTTAACAGGCTGTGGGTAAAGAGCAATTGAATTGTAAGTCTTTAAGAGATAGCTCAAGTTCTAACAATAAATACCTGCTATCGGCTAACTTCTTACCATGCAGATTTCTGTTGCAACAAGGTAACTTAGCCGATTAAACCACTCTACATAGGCTTCTAAATTCCGAGTCCTTTTCCGGTCGCTGTAACAACTCTGCGGAGGAAAAAAGGTTTCATATTTGTTATTATGGGTGTTTTTTCAGACAAAAGATAAAAAAAATATATACACACACCCCCCCAGGTTACGAAATCAAGGTCAGATTATTTTATAAATTTTAGAAATATATAGCACAGCCCATCTCACCCCAACCATTTTGATTATGGAATATACAGTATACCTGTAGTATTTTTTAAATTTTCAGTAGGTATTCCCTTGATGCAAATCTCATCTGTGTTAAAGTATTTTTAAAAAGCCTTGTTTGTTTGCATGGTTTGTATACATGTATATTGTAACCACCATATTTGTTCATCTCATACACGATTATTGCTTTGAGGTGCTACACAATGGCTGTTCTATACTGCTATTTCTAACAGTAGAAGTCAATGAGTTGGCTGATTCACTGAAAACAATGCACTCCCTGTGTGGCTGATCTCTCACATACATCTACATTTAATACAACACAAAATATGAAAAATCAATATGTCAAAATGGGAAAGTCACGTGAAGATACACGGATAGCTAAAAGTATGTGCTCACCGAAAATATATTATACTTTCCTTTAAAATAAAGAACGGTCACTAACATTGGCTCGCTGACCAGTGCTAAGAGCATATTCAAAAAGGTGGGATACAGCATCGTTTGAGTGAAATTATACTATGTATACAAATTTTATTTGGCCTTCACAGTTCAATCAGATAATGTCATTATATATCCCACACCAAGAAGGTATGATCGATTCAGGCCATAAAAAGGTATATATGTATAATGTACCATTCTGTTAAACAGGATCCTCTGTCTACTTCAATTCACCAGCTATGACACAAATTTAAAACTTAAAATTTCACTCAGAGTCAGAAACACCTCTAGTCACTTTACCTCATTATTGTCTAATGGATCCTTCTGCACAAAAGCTTGTACAAACTCTTCTGGCCCAATGTAACTTAGTCTCTCCTGTAATGCAAATGGTACATTCATGAGTTCATTCACCATACATCAACTTAGCCAAAATGATTTCAATTTTATTCCTGTTACTTACCAGCTCTATATGAGTTAGCTGCTGAGCTAAAGTATAGGGGTCGCTACAGATACTGATGATATCCCTCTGTATGGACTGTGGTTTGCTCTTTAGGATGGCCATACGATCAGCAGACTGGGCATTAATTTTGGCAATAAGTTCTTCATACTGGCTCAAAGCAGCCAATTTCCGGATAAGGTTTTGGATAATTTGCTGGACAGTTTTTCTGTACATCTGAAAATAAAAAAAAGTGTTGTTTAGTATGACTACAAAAAACAGTCTAACACAATGGCATTGATGATGAATTCAAAAATGTCCTCCACTATCCCCCAAAGGAAAATCCCACTACCCAAATACAAGAAAATAAGTCAGGTAATGGAAAAGTCACCTGGGCAGTTCCCTACTGTTGAAAGGAGTGGGACCGGCATACTTAGAACATGCAGTCCCACAGGCTGTAGACTCAAGAATACCACCAAATATTAAAAAGGTACCATAATGGTGACAACTTCACTGGTCCCATTAATTTTTAAAGTCAATATAAAGGAATTAGAGTAGGTTAGATCTGTAAATTGACAAGGTTTTGAAGAGTCCGTTTTCTCATAATAAAATAACTTAATAAGAATATCTAATAAAGTAATAATAAGAAGAATAATAATATCTAATAAGTAACGTAAAAAAAACCCAAAAAAACATATCCACATGAAATTATAGAAAAAAAAAAAGTTTGTGTTTTCAGACTGCATAATCGCTTGAAAATACATAGCACTAAATGTATCTCTTTCCCATCTAACTTTCTGAGTTAATCAACAGTCTCAGCCATTGCCAACATGAATCATGCTAAAGTTATTTTGTTGTATTCCTAGCAATGTCTGCCCACATCTAGCAACTTCTGTTCTTTCAACCTAATACGAGTCCTGCTGCTTAGCTTCTGTCCTGCTATTCTGTGCCGACACAATTAATGGACCCTTGACAATGAGCCTTTCCTGGTAGTGGAATTTGCCAGCACAAACACTCTTAACTCCGTTTGATCCCACACTGGTCTCTACAGTGCTATGATCACAGGGTCAATTCTGTCCTCAAATGTCCAATAAACAAAGGCTGTTTTGATAAGCTGCTCTTTGAATATTGTGTGAGCGGTTATGTTATGCACAAAGAATTACATGACAGACCTACTCTGAAGTTGATGGTTCTTGGGAGTTAACTATTAAGTGAATGCACTAAGCTGAGATAGCATTGTGTGCAGACCTTGGTGCTAGGTGATCCGTGCTGGGTATCTGTGGGGTAATGTAGCACTTGGTTAGTAATCTTTCTCCATTTTAATTTGACGATTTAACAGCACAGTATGTTACTGTTACATTCCTTGCACCACTGAGCCTTAAATGAAATGACATCAGGGACATCTATTTGTAGCAGACAGAATATAAAGTGCTGCCTTTCATACAAATGCTTATACAGCAGTTATGTGTTGTGAATGGTATTCTCAACTGAAGTATCCCCTAGTAGGCACTGAGTCTAGGTAGTTCTCCTACATGTCTGACTTAATTAAAAACACAACAAACCTCTTTTTGTCTTGATTTCAAACAAGTAGGTTGTTGCAAATGCATGGTCTAAAAAGTATGTTTGGTCTCATAATGTGCCTTAACCACTGCAATACTGGGCACTTTCATCCCCTTCCTTCCTAGGCCAATTTTCATCTTTCAGTGCTATCGCACTTTGAATGTGAATTGAGCGGTCATGAAGGTTTTAGCATTTTTTTGAGACAGATAGAGCTTTATTTTTGTGGTATTTAATCTTCTGGTGGTATTTTTATATTTAGCTAAACAAACGAAAAAAAAAGACCAAAAATTTTGGGCAAAAAATTAGTAATTTTTTTTCTTCGATGATTGGCTGTACTGATAGGTTGCACTGATGGGGCTGCACTAATAATCAGGTCACCGATTATAATAATTAATACACTGATAATTATCAGTGTAAGCAAGGTACTGATAGTCTTGCTGGGCTGGCAGTTTTTGTTTGCTAGTGTCCAATACTCCTGTAGGTGGCAGTATAACCCAAAAGGTGAAGGACTTCCTGTATCCCTTAAGGGACTTCAAAATAAGGATTTTATGGCGAGTACAAAAATCCCATTTCCCTTTGTTTCTACTGGTATCACAGGGATATATTATTAGGAGAAATCTTTTCAAAAAAGTAATAAAACATATGACAGAGGTCCTAAACCTCCCATGCTCTATTTGATTGGGGCTTTGATTTGAGCTTTTAGAGTATGGGAAGTTTAGGTCCTCTGTCATATGTTTTTTATTACTGTTTGAGACTACATTTAAAAGAGATTTCCCCTCCTATTACATCCCTGTGACACCAGTAGATGAAATGAGGGGAATTGGGATTGAAATCTAATAAAAAGGGACACATGAAGTCCTTCGCGCTTGGTTTATATCTGCCCTAAATGAGTATCAGACATTAGCAAACAAACACTGCCAAACCAAGATGACCCTAGCTATTAGCAGCATGCCAAATTTTGTAGCAATGCAGTACTAAAAGCATGATCATGGAGTAAGCAAGCTCTACTTGCACTTTTGTTACATAGTTAATCTGGTTGAAAAAAAGATAACAGTCCATCCAGTTCAACCAACAGAGAAAAAAAAAAAAAATACACAAATAAAAAACCTCCATATACACTATACTAGAAAAACAGTTGATCCAGAGGAAGGCAAAAAAAAAAAAAAAAAAAACCCCAAAACACCATGATCCAATTTGTTGCAGCAGTGTAAAAAACTAAAAAAAAAAAAAAAAAAAAAAACTTCCTTCCTGATCCCCCAGGAGGCAATCGAATATTCCATGGATCAACTTTACTCATAAATATTAGTATCCAGTTATATTATGTGCATTTAGGAAATAATCCAGGCCTTTTTATTTTTTAAAGTAATCTACTGAGCTGGGCAGAACCAGCTCTTGAGGGAGTCTATTCCACATTTTCACAGCTCTTACTGTGAAGAAGCCTCTCCGCATTCGGAGATTCAATTTTTTTTTCCTCCAGACATAAAGAGTGCCCCCTTGTCCTCTGATGATCTAATTGCCCATATCTCCCCCCCTAAACACTTTAGGTTTCTAAATCCCCAAAAAATTTCAGAGCATATCCTGGAATGTTATTTGGCTTCGGGCAAACTGCCTCAAGTATTTAAAACGGTTTTATATGCAGAACAGAAACCTTGTTGTGGCCGACATGTAAATGATGAATGGTTCTCAGTAAAAAGCACACAGGAATGCATAAAAAAAAAAAAAAAAAAAAAAAAAACACCAATTATTTATAACAATTCTTTATATAAAGATTACACAAAGCTAACTTCTATCAGTTAGGTTGTGACACATGACTAATCAATGTTTATTTTATAGAAAGTCAGAAGATGAACCCAACTGAACTGTCAGGGAAAAACTTCAGTCATTCCTGTGATTTTCTAAAAAAGGACCTTCCAGAGTAGTCTAAAGAATTAAAATAGGGAAATATATAAAGAGCTGTGTTACTATCAGACACGTAGCTTGGGTAAGAAGTCACTGTCATGTGATGAAGAGGCACACTTTGACAGACACAATGTTAGGAAGGTTTCTGTAAACTCAGTAGTATGTACTAGTAGATGTAGTCATCTGTTAAGCACCATGTAATATTTATTGCATTCAGGTCTGTGATGTGACATGTGGTAGCTTTAAAAGGCATTGTGCAAGACAAAAAACAGTTCTTGCCAAGCAATACTCATTTATCTAGTAGGAAAATTCAGTCTAGCAGTAAAAACAAACAAGTCTTCCACATACAGCTAGTATAAAAGGCAAATAGATATGTAGCCACTACCTTCAGTAAAACAGTGTAAAGCCCCTCATTTTTAGGTATGAAAAGCAAGACTGCTGGTGGTGTAAAGAGAGGAAAAAAAAAAATCCTAGAACATGAATCAATATCTTAATGAGAATGTGTCATTTCTGGTCACGTTGGCCATTTCAGAGTGCATACCGCACTGTGTAATTGGGCAGAGACACTAGAATTTAGTTAGCTTAGAACATTTTCTGCTCTATAATTTAAATATGAAATCTTAGCCAATGAGCTAGACCAAATCCTCGATAAAGCTCACGCTAGAGTGGAGATGTCAAATGCATGAAAGTAGACACGTATTCTTTAGTCTCCGAATAAATGATTTTTTTCAAAAGGGAAAGCACTTTACCTCATCTCCATGAGTGATGCGGTGAGCTGTGTCCTTTAGGTTTCTCATCATTCTCTCATCTCTGAAGTCATAAGGGAAGGTCTCGGTCCATTCTGTCAGCAGCTGAAGGATTTTAGGTGCAATTTTTCTGGTGTGGCTCTGTAGAAGCACATTTGAAAATTACCCTCAGGAAACTATTAAGGGCTCATCTAAATGGCTACTATATCTCTCTGCAAGTTCCAAATGGAATGCAACAAAAAGAAAACCAGGTTAGAAAGAAGGCAGACAAACATTCCACTGCTAGATATCCTTGGCTTGTCTTAAGATGGCATAAATCTTAAATAATAAATCAAACCTGTCTAAAGTCTTGTATATGCAAACAAATGCCTAGATTGTAAGCTTCAAGGAGCTATCCCTCTTTATTGAACTGTATTGTTGCTGTATTGTCTCCCGTTATATTGTAAAGCGCTGAGCAAACTGTTGGCACTATATAAATCCTATATAATAAAAATTAATAAAAATAAATAAATAAATAATGGTTCCCTATGGTCACTCCTCTCCCTCCTCCCTTCATGACAAAATAAGTCAGCCAGGACAGTTTGGCATCAATAGACAGTAGTAATATACAATCAAAATCCAAGGAGTATTGTATACTTCAACCAAAATGAACCAGAGAGCAACAATCAGCTCATGTCTGTGTGTGCTTTCAATCAGTTCCTCACACCTGGATTTTCTTATCCTACAGCCTGTGGGCTGAAAGAAAAAAAAAAAAAAAAGGAAATCCGTCCATGCCTTGAGCATGGATGGAAAAATGGCCACTGGCAGCTATTGTATTCAACAGCCGTGGAACTTGTAGCTGGCTGAATACATTTGCAATGCTGGACAATGTCTGCATCCAATTGGATGCACTCACTGTTCGGCCGATAACTTATCACTTGGCTTACCCAGTTTTTAAACCAACTTTTGTCAAGTCAGGTGGTGCTTGTAGGGCTATGCACAGCTCAAATTTCAGCCAATTCAGCAGGAATCGGCCAAAAGTTCAAGCAGTCTATGGGGGCCGTTATACAGCTTTGTTTCCCGAATCAGCAGAAAAAACTACAATGGGATAGGCATGAAACAAATATATAAAACTACAACAGGGTAATGTTTAACCTTCCTGAGACTGAGCGTTAACATACCTTATCAGTGCCTGGCTCATTTAGTCGCTGCTGTTCAATACAAACATGACAGACTTTAGCCATCAATTCAAAGGGATGAAGGAAGAGTCGAGAGCTGAGAAGGAAGGTGAAGATGTATGTTCTCTGCAAAAGAAAAAAAAACACCCACATTTTTATATCTATTTGGTTCTTAAGAAAAATACAAGTCATATGTGATTTGCATCATAAAAGGCTATACTGCAGGATAGATGAGCAACTGGTAGAAAAAAAGTGTCAAAATGTAGTAGGATGCAAGCACATATAAAAAACAGCCATATCAACCAAAAAACATCAAAACACATTATATACATTTTGCAGGATGAAGAAGCCTTCAGAATATGCATTCTGAAGTACCAGAGAGCAAGTCAAGCACATGATAAACTGAGCTCGTATGTACTGAACCATTCAAGTCAGTACCCCCTTTACTGCTACATGCTTGGAAATGCTAACTGGGCGAAGAGAAATCATCCTTCTGAGAGCAATCTTTACTTGAACTCAATGCACCTGCACCAGTAGACTATCTGCCTTGTCAAGTATGTTTCCAGCAATACTAAACAATATGTAAGGTGCAACACGAATACGAGTTAAAATTTATTCTCAGCTCCACCTTTCAAAATATGCAAGTAAAGGGATAAAGAGTTTTTTTTTTTTTTTTTTTAAAGAACAAAATTTATATCAAACCATCAAACCCGCCCCGCAGGCCAGAGTACTTGGTGTCATTCTGGACTCCAACCTATCCTTCCAGCCCCAAGTCCAATCTTTAACAAACTCGTGCAGACTCCACCTCCGCAACATTGCCAAAATACGCACGTTCCTAACCCAGAAACCACTAAACAGCTCATCCACTCCCTCATCATATCACGACTCGACTACTGCAACTTCCTCCTCACTGGCCTGCCTCACCGCTGGCTATCCCCGCTTCAGTCGATCCTGAATACGGCTGCCAGACTCATTCACCTTTCCAACAGCTCCGTCTCCGCCACCCCTCTTCTGCCAATCCCTCCACTGGCTTCCGATTGCGCAACGGCTCAAATTCAAAATCCTAAACGCTGACGTACAAAGCTGTCCACCATACTGCCCCGAACTACATCACTGACCTAATATCCAAGTACCGCCCAGCACGCACACTCCGCTCCTCACAAGACATCCTTCTCTCTAGTTCCCTGGTCTCCTCCTCCCATGCCCGCCTCCAGGACTTCTCCAGGGTGTCACCCATCCTCTGGACTCCCTGCCCCAACCCATCAGATTATCACCTACTCTCCTCTCCTTTAGGCGCACCCTGAAAACCCATCTCTTCAGGGAAGCCTACCCCACCCCCTGCTTGCACCCTGAAAACCCATCTCTTCCAGGGAATCCCCTCCCTCCTACAGTAAGCTGAGGGCAAATCCCCTCATGTTTTGGTGTCCCCCTTTGTAATGTACAGCGCTGAGCAAACTGCTTTATAAATAATAATAATAATAATATCAAAAGAGATGAAGCTTCCCTGACCATAAAAAACAGACTGCAGAAAAGTCAACTACATGGTTTGTCACCAATACAATTTGATACTCTCCCCCCCCCCCCCCCCCCAAGTTGTTTCTATACGCTACACAATTACATGACCAGCTTTTTGTAATCTTTCCATCAAACAGAGCTCCCAAAGCTGGAACCCCCTTTCTTGCCACTTGTTATCTATTTGCCAGCCTGACTTTAGTGTTACATAGATAAGCTATGCCTTTGTTTCCTGTACTGAAAAAGCTTCCTATTTAAGCAGTACACAGTGTGAAAGTGTATGACTGACAACAGATTTATTTTCGGTTCCCTTCAACTTACATCCGGATAGTAATCCACGCTGGGCACCAGGTGCTGAATGAGTGCTTCCAGGGAGCCAGATAGCAATTATTTTCTTGGTAATACAAGTCAAGCAGAACTCTCTTCTTTGGATTGATACACGTTACGGTTAAAAGTACTGCTGTCAAACATGGCTACCAGAGAAGGGGTTTGTGGCATTCTCTCCTGTAAGAGAAAGAAAACAGGGGGCATTACAATCATATAATATTATTACTGATTATTTTTTACAAGAATACTTGAGCTTTACATGTTAACTGATTTGTTCTAAAATTACAGAAAAGCAAAAAACACTTCTAGAACATTTAGATCATTACAAATCAACATATTGGTTTAAAAAAGTACATGCTACAGATGCAACTTAAATTATACAACTGATCTCGGCTTGATCTTAGTTAATCACACACACTAGTAGATCTTTTTGCTGATCAAGGATTTAGATGGTCTTGTTCACTTGACAAGTCCAGTCAGTCATTCACACCATTGCTTTGTGGGGAAAATGCAGAACACCACCAGTTCATTTCTGATGTATCAGTTAATTGGCTGAAGTCCAATCCAGTCCAGTTCTAATCCACTGGATCAACTGCAATGGCAGGTGGGATCTTCTGTTGTGATCATTTTTTGTCAGTCCTATCTTATGATTCTTCAATTCCATTTCAAGATAATTTTTGCCCATTGAAAAATAGTAAGAATGTCACACAAAAACCAGCAGTTTCGCCATGTTTGAAATGTATTCAAAGTTTCTTCACTGCCAACTGTACATTCAGAATTGCACAGAGCAACTGGAATAAATGGCTCTATACTAGCTACATTATATCTGTGCTATAAATCTGGATGCACAATTGGCCAAGGGGTATAAAAGAATGATTTGCCTGGCACTGCCTACTATCCTAAAACAAGGCATAAACCACTTATTTTTTGGGACTTCTGCTGGAAATGAGACAGTCATGCACATAAATATGTGCAATGATGAACACGTTTTCAATGGTCAAAATTGCTGGTTATTTCTTTGTGATCTTCTCCAGAGCATCACATCATTACATCTCCAGCACATTTACAAAGCAGCAGGCATAACCCCCAATCCAGATTTTATGGTGTTATCTAAAAGAAGCTCAAATTAGGTTGTACACAATACCAACAAACAGACTGTGCAGACATCTGATCTTGGAACAAGGAGTGAAGTTACAGCCAGCAGTTAAGTGCTTTCCTTCCATCTGCACTGTCTATGTCTCAACAAAGAATGTCTCAAAGAGCACTGCAAAGCTACTATTAAGTTATTAGCCAGATTCCTGGGGACAAAATGCACTACTCACACACATAGCTCCTGCTGCCCAATAAAACAAAAAAAGCATTCAATCAAGTAAAAAAAAAAAAAAAAAAAAAGTTCAGCAAGTAAACAATGACAAAGACCCAAAGTCCAAAACACATTATTAGCTGCCTAACCTCTGCTAATAACTCTTTTCTTCCACACAATAGAATATTTGCATCAAAATAAGGGAAGGACCCAAGGGAAGGATTCATGGTCATATAAAGAAAACAGGAAGCTGCCTTATACATCTGTTTGGCTTTGGATTGGGGGCTGCTAGGGAAAAAAACCCCCCAGACATTTCAATAGTGCACATGGCACAGCTTAGCAGAGCAAAGACGTGCACCATGATATAAAGGGTCCAACTGTTCTTTTTTGGCTAGACACAAAAGGTTTGAAGCCAGCTACATAACAGGAATAATAAGAATTGGGACATTCCTTACTGGATTAAAAACCCAATGGAATGAACGCAATCAAATCTTTGGCTGATGTTTAATCAGATTGAAGCAGGATGGTTAAAAAGTAATTTTCTTTTAATGGGAACCCAAAGTTTGTGTTATTGTATTAAATAACTTTATATCTACCAATTTGACATTAAAAGGCAAGGAAGATTGTTCAAAAGGCAGAATCACTGTGGTAGTCAGTCAGTCTGTTGACATCTGTTGTCACCCTTTGAGCACATTGCTTTCTATGAGCTGGCCTACTGAGAAAACAATTATTAGAAGAAGCAGTGAAAACACAAGCATTGTCCATCAGTGCAAAGTAAGAAACAGCTCTAATGTATGCAATTATCCAACATGGCTGCCAAAATAGACCAATCATAAATGAAGTATCATAAACCAAATAAAAAAATCTATCAATTTTCATTATTCAATTGCTCTTCATTATAAGGCCTGAAATGAGAACGTCTTGTATTGTATATATAAAGATATTGTATGTAAGTTTATATATAATAAAAAGCAATTGGATAATAAAAAATTGATAGATTTTATAAATGTAAGATTTGTGTACCTATTTGTATACTTGACCTTTCCATAATCAGACCATTCCCTGTTGACCTTTTCATAGCCAGACCATTCCCTGTTGATGAGCATAAAATTAGTGCTACCTAACAAGTCCTAAAAACACAAAAGAAAAACTATAGGAATCAAACTATTCTTCAATTCAAGCTAAAATCTTTAGAGGCAAATAGAAAAAAGTTTGTATGAAATCCTGGACGATAGAAAAGGTCAGTTCTTTAAAAACTGACTGGAAGCCTTTAGGGAATACTACACTTGCGTGACTGTATAGATATCACAGCCTAGACTATGTCACTTCGTGGTACGCATGTCATGCACAGACATCAAGGTTCAGCAGAAAACTGTCATGTCTTTTTAAAACACTTCCTAATCAGGGCAGTAAATGGCAAGCCAATGCTATGAGGTGAATTCATGTAATATATACAAAAACACTGAACCCTACACATTCCTTGTTCCTGTGTGTTGTTGGTAGCATCATTTGCATTAAGCTTATGCAACATGAAGCTAAAGAGCTTAGTAGATAATAATAGGATTAGGAGCCCCTTGTTGGCACTCAATTGCTACCACTAATACAATAGTGAAAAAAAAGATATATATAGTATCTGCCCCACTTTGTATTTTAAATAGCTGTTAGATGGATTACTTCTGAAAAGCAAAGTTGGACGCTACAGCTTAATATGAATTGACATCTTTAGGAACCATTTAGTCAGAATTCTTGAAAAGGTTTATGTGGTTTCACAAACCAAAATGAGTAGCTTTTGTAGACAGGCTTATTTAATAAAAAAAAAAAAAGTCAGCCACATAAGTGCTTCTCATCTTTCATTGGAGAATAAGTAGGCACATACATACAAACTTTGTAAACATGGCTTACTGGTGAAAAAAAAAAAAAAAAACTTCACACCAAGATTGTTGCCGATTAGGTCTTCCAGAAAGGTCTTAGGTCTTCTAAGAAATTCCTCAGCCGAGATTATCCACTTGATGGTTAGATGGCTACATCGGTATGGTATGGAGTGTGTATGTATATATATATATTTATTATACACAACCCATACCAATGTAGCCATCTAACCGTCAAGTGGATAATCTCAGCTGAGGAATTTCATAGAAGACCTAATCAACTCAGTGTGAAGGTTTTTTTTTTCACCAGTAGAGCCATGCTCACAAAGTTGGTCTCAATCATTTTCTGTAAATAAATCCACCAGTGGCTCATAGGACTTACTGTAATGCTTTATTAGACAAGTACCACTGAGAACGCAAAATGGTGAGATCCCTTAGAAACTGAAAATAGCTTGGAGTGGAGTTTTTCTTTAAATCCTTTAAGGATTCCAAACATTGTCCCATCATAGTCCAAAGGGTGTCAAAATAAAATTGTATCATGCAATGAGAAAACTTTCAGATAAAAGAGGTTTTGTGACTATACATGGAAATAATTCAGCCACCTAAATATCTTATTCCCAACTCACAATAAGTAGTGAGCTTTGTTAAATTCAGAGACAAAAGGCCTACAGTTCCAAGGTCAATTATTAATCTAGTCTTGGTTAAATAATGAATTTCCTTAAAGAAAAGCAAAGTAAGCTACAAATATTAAAAAGTATGTGTCAGTATTATGAATTAGGCAACACTGGTTATCAATAGATAACTTCCTTCTCATTGTGAACTTCCTTCTCATTGTGAAATATGCAAACAGCCTGCAAAGACGTGACTTCATAGGAGCACTGTACAACAAATATGGTGAACATTGACTGTAGAAATAGACCTCTCTTATCTTAGCTTCTTACAAAAGGAAGGAAGCCTTTCATGTAGGACTGTAAAAAGGCGCAGTAATAAACTGTACATTACCATTGCCTGGCAAATCAAACACTCAGGAACTCAGGAGCATTATGCAGAATTTCTGTCATTCTAATGTCTGAGGTTACAAGAAAAGAAAATGTTCCCACCCCAGGTAAATAAAACTACCATATACAAAAGGGTTTCTGCCAATTTGTCTGCAGCTACTTTCTGTCTACATACATGCACAATGCAGGAAAATATTTCAGAGACAGGGACAGAGCGTTGTCACCGAATAACAGGAAATGTCTGTACAAGTGTAAATATACTTTACAGCTTGTTTAAAGGGGTTTTTATGTTGGAAATGAAAGGTCAAATGTTATGAAAAAATATAAAAGAATTATTTGCATGGCTCTGCCCACTATCCTAAAAGGGGGTGCAAAACCACCTATTTCTGAGTTTTGTAGCAGAAGTGAGACATGCATATCATCGTGTGTGCAATGATGAAATTTCTGGTTATTTCCCCAGAGCATCACATCTTTACATCAGTTGTAGACTGGCACACATTGGTGGAATCATGATACTCACAGGATTTAGGGCTCGTGTACACTGCAGCTGATAAACTCACGTTTAGGAGCTTTTCAGCAGCCCCTGAACTCTCCCTAATGTTTTCCTATGTGTCCATGTACACTATGTCATTTACAGCCAATTGAGTTTACAGTCTTTTTTTGAACGCAGAAAACTTGTGTTAAGGAGTAGATTTTATAAGCATTTCAAACGCCAAACGCTTGTAAACGTGGCTAGCTGCGTTTATAAGCATTTGGAAAAATGTTTTAACTCTCTGCCATTTCCAGATGCTGTCCAGAACCTTCTTTCATCATGAAAAATCCATGCAAAAATGTTTTCCTGGTACTCAAAATGGACCTGGTACACCATACTTTGAGGTTTCGCATGAAAGAAAATGCTAGACACTGCTGCAATCATTTCTGCACAGAAATGAGCTGGAACACATCCAAACACACACAAAAAAAAAAAAAAAAAAAAAAAAAAAAAAACACACACAACACAAC